ATCGTCATTATCACCATCATCATCATCATCATCATCATCATCGTCATCATCATTTTCACCATCCTTGACAGCATGAAATCAGTATTCAACACTGATGCTTTGCCGTTGTACAACCAAGATTTATTTCAAGGCCTTATTGTGAAGAAAAGAATAAAGATGAACGGGGGAAATGACTTAGAGCTATCTTACTACAATTATTCCGAGGTGCCTACACCACCAGACACTCATTCAGGCAATCTGGATATAAACTGACAATAAGAACAAAGCTGGCCAACTGAAATAATCTTCGTAAATTACTTGATTTCTGAGCCTCTTCCATTTCTTTAGATTTCAGTGTTCGCCAGACTTCGCGCAAACGTTCCGTAATCTTTTTCACACCCCTTCGCCAGCACAAGGGTTGATCATTCCTCAGCTTCCGCCATTCTGAGTTAGGTACGAAAAAGCACTCTCTTCAGCAAGCGATGGTTCGGCATACGTGATCATGGCCTAACCAAAACAGCTTCTGGTGTTGGACACATTTTTCGATGGACAACCGAAAACTCACTTTCTAACTACCTCGTTACTGATTCGCTAACACGAACCCAGACAACTTATGGTTTTGAGGCAACGGTTTTCAAACAGCTGAAGATGCCTCAATTCCGCTGATCGAACAAACCAAGTCTCAGCCATACAATAAAACAAGCCCTTGAGATTCAGGGATACACCACTTTGACGTCATAGGTGTCTCATATTAGAAAACACGACCCGACTCTTTCAGATTCGTGCATTGACACCATGTCACACCACAATCAGAACTAATACGACTTCCAAGGTAAGTAAACCGCTCCACAACATCGAGTGCCTCCTGTGTTGTGAGTGGTGTGATCAGTGACTGCATGTCCAGGAGCATGACCTTAAACTTTGTGTGCAAAGTGCATGCCGAAGGATGGGATGACTTTGGACAGCCCAGTCAAAAACACCTGAGTCTTCTCTTCTTCGAAGATGAGAACGACACCGCCTGTATATTCCAGATTGACAAGACTTTCGTCGGAGGCTATTTGAAAACTGGGGTTTTGAAGACGTTGCGGCGTGACCCCAAGTCTCGTTACCCCTGGGTTAAGTCGATCCCTCTGTCGTTACCACACCCACTAAGAACCCTCCTTTTTGAAATAGGCCCTTTTGAAAATGGGTGCTGTCGAAAATTCTCCCAAGTTGTCTGGAACAGTCTCCTTTTCACGAATGCAGACAAACAGATTAGACGAGCGCTGGCTGAGGGCTTCAGCCCCACCCACCTTTAAGCAATGTGGGTGGGGGCTTGTCTTGACGAACAGCTCGGTGGAACTTGGAAGGGTATGCAGTCATGGACCTCCGAGGCCGTTAGGGGTTCCAGGTTCATCACCCAAGGTTCTACTTCAGCGTAGGTTGCAAACGAGTGGCAAGTGGTGGCCACGATAACTGCTGTTCGAAGTATTTGGTCGAGCGTTCGACGCTCTCCTCTTCATTCCTAATGGTCTCTCCGTTCTCATCCTTGCTGGTTTTGCTCACTGGTGGTTTCCGGGAGCTAGTCGCACGGATCAACTGAAATAATGTTCGGGCATTTCCGTCTTCCTGGGTCTCTCATTAACTTCACAGACAATCACTTAAGGTCTGATAATTCGTCGGGCCAAGTTATGTTCGGGACCTGAGGGGATATTTCTCCGCATTATAGTCAATGCCACCGTTCGGTCTGGCATCCACTGACCAAGTCGGCTGGTAGCGCCGTTCCACAGGTAAAACTCCCAGCACTGTGTAAAGAGGTGGCGCTCTCGCTCCAGTATCAATTGACATCTGATGGTGGAGCAGCTGGAAGAGATTCCAGAAGACGATTCTGGTGCATTCGTCTAACATCTGGATTTGCCAGTCTCTCAGTTAGTGTGATTTGTCCGCACCTCAAGTGGCCCTGAAAAACAGAGAGAGAAGGGACTCCGGATGAGTGCATGGTTGGGATCCACAAATGCACTCCAAAACGAGTGGCAGTCAGCTATTGATCCTCGCCAGTGGTAACTAATAGCAATGTGGTCAATTAGACTTTGTCACCAGCACGCCGTTGGAAGATGCCAGACGACTTTGGCTGTCTCGGGAGTCAGTACTGCATAACAGCACCCTGCAGTCAGTACCCAACTAAAGTAATCGTTCACCACTGTCCGTACGTACCGAGTCTAATACATGTCAACCAACTAAGTGAGTCTCAGATGCGCTAGGCCTGCCTACTTGTACATTCAGATCAATGACAACCATGGCATCTAGGCTTTTGGTTCACCGCAAAAGGGCATTCATGGCGTCATAAAACTTGTGGAGAGTGAAGAGGCGGTTATCTCAACCACTGTGCCTGCATCTTGAATTTCTGTTTCCGGTGCACAGCACACATCAATGCCAAGAGAGTCCAGTGTGGGAGCAAGAGGAGTTTGTTGTTCTGCTTGCTTCAGAGTGCGGAAACTGAAGGCAGCCAGATGGACTGGGCATCGAGCACTGTAGACTGATTTCGAGAAGCCTGAGGATTTCGGTGTCGGATGACATGCCAATAAGGAGGGTTATTAGTGGAGTGGGCAGAAACGGACGTGAAAGAGAAAAAAGGGAGGCGTCATCAGCAGTGTGTTTTCGCTGCGAAAATAAACAGTAAATAACCGTTCAGCTAGACACACTTTCTGTGCCTAGCCGCCACACCATCCGAAGGAAGCACGATGGCTGAGATACCTTTAGGTTGCCCAATCCTCCTCATCATCATCATTGTCAGCTGTAATAACCGCGTACTCGTCGTACAGTGGTTGTAGCTGCCACAGTTTCGTTCATCGATGTTTGGGGGGATAGGTACAGTGGGCTGTCAAGTGGAGGGTTGGAAAAGGAGCTATGCATTGAAGGCAATAGCTTGGATGCACGAGCGCCACTGAGGGCGCGACTGGGCCATATCTGACAATGTCTCTAGCCATTGATGTGGCCCGTCTCG